GACTGGGTGGAGTGTCAGCCCAGACTAGAAGGGAGCTGGAGAAGGAGAGAGCAGGGCTGAAAGATGGACTACTGGGAGACTAGCAAGGAGAACTTGTGCTTGAGAGAACCTAGGCCCTCCATAACATAAATTTCTTCTATGGGATAAACTTCCTGGTAATAAACTGCCACTAAGATCAACCAGCCTGGCCCTCGTCTCTTCCTTTGTCTACCCTTGGTCAACAGCCGTTTCGATCCAGGCCACACACAGAGGCTCTAGGGCACTGAACGCGGGCGGTGAGATAGAGCCGTCCAGAGAGCCCGTGAACACACGACCTTCAGCGTGCATAGTTTTTTACAATAGATGAACTCAGATTAGCTCTGTTGCCCATGTTGTAGCAGAAACACCCCAGCAAACTCGTCCCATACCATGAGCTTATGCTCTACTGCACCCAGCCTCACTAATTTAGGGTTAAAATCAACACTAGATTTAACCAGATAAGGTAGAAAGTAGAGGGACCAGCGACTTGGTGGAGTGAATTACAACATTATATTTAGTTTGCTGGGATGGACCGGGGCTGGAGCAATAGCACAGCAGTAGGGCGTTTGCCTTGCACCTAGCCAATATGGCCGACCCGAGTTCAATTCCTCTGCCCCTCTCGGAGAGTCCGGCAAGCTACTGAGAGTATCTCGCCCTCACGGCAGAGCCTGGCAAGCTTCCCGTGACATATTCGATATGCTCCCCGTGACATATTCGATATGCCACAGTAACAGGTCTCACAATGGAGACGTTACTGGGCCCGCTCGAGCAAATCGATGAACAACGGGAGGACTGTGACCGTGACCGGGATGGACTGGACCTGTCAGAAGAATTCAGCCCATGGAAGTAAAGTTTGGTGCTTCCAAGTGGTTATTCTTGAGAAACATTACTTTTCACTGCTCCTCCCATCAACCAAGTCTATGTGTTTCCAAAACTAAATGGTGAAAAAGTTTTAGATAGTGTGGAATTTGCTAATGTAAAGGTAAAGGTAAAGGCCCTCCCGTTGATCGTCGATTTGCTCGAGCGGGCCCAGTAACGTCTCCATTGGAGACTTTGTTGTTACTGTGTCTGGCATATCGAATACTCTCGGTAGCTTGCCGGGCTCTCCGAGAGGGGCGGAGGAATCGAACTCGGGTCGGCCATGTTGGCCGCGTGTAAGGCGAACGCCCTACCCGCTGTGCTATAGCACCTCCGCCCCGTATGTATACATATTCTACACGTTTATTTTTGCATTTATAAAATCTTGAATACATAATGTATGTATACATACTCCACACATTTATTTTTGTCATCATAAAATCGTGGAATATTAGAGTGAATTATAGAATAGATCAACCACACCAATATTTTCTCTCATTACCCAGAAATATTGGTGCACACATTCCCATAGAAAGTCTCTCTTACCCTTTTTGTCCACTTCAAGGAATATCCTAGTTATGAGAATTAAATATATAGATGTTGGAATATAGCTCTAAACATTTTAGGTTTAGCATTGGTATGTCTATTCTCCTCTACCACAAAGAGTTTAGATTTTACTGGTAATACCCATCACAGTACTCCTGAAACACCTCCATTTCTCTGTGTTTAATGGAATTTAGCTCTAAACATTTTAGGATAACATTTGTATGTCCTGTTTCCCTTGCCGCGGGGAGCTTAGGTTTATCACAGTGCTCCTGAGGCACTTCCATTCCTCTGTGTTTTTTTGTTTTGTTTTGTTTTGTTTTGCTTTTTGGGTCACCCTGGCGATGCACAGGGATCACTCCTGGCTTTGCACTAAAGAATATTTCCTGTCGGTGCTCGGGGGATCACATGGGATGTTGGGAATCGAACCCAGTTCGCTGCATGCAAGACAAACACCCCACCCGCTGTACTATTGCTCTGGCCCCACTTTTTTTTTTTTTTTTGCTATTGCTCTGTGTTTATTTGCAAACTCTTCTCTGTGCTCTCTTCCCCAACCTATCTACCACCTTTAATTCCTAATCAGACTCTGTTAACTTTTAAGGTCATATTCCTCAGAAATCTATAATTTCATATTTGTGAATGAAATATTGCTTTTCCTCCTTTTCTTATGTCCTTTTGCACAGTTTACTTTAAAGCAATGTCTTTTTTGTATAGACACATGATGACATTTAATGCGATGCTTTTGTAACTTGGGAGTTAATTGACTCCAAATAATATTCACTCTGGGGCATCTGCTTCCTCAATTTAAGCCTCAGTTGCCCTTACTTCTTAACACCCCCCCAAAACAGGGTCCTGACAAGGGATTGAATGAATGGACCCAGGGCAAACTGTGAGCTACCCTGGTATCAAAATGGGCCAGGCCAAAGCACCACTATACTGAGCTATAAGTTAAGAGCATGATCATGGACAAATTCTGTCATGATCCAAGAAGTAACAATGAGATTAGGACCCTGCTAGGATTAGGAAAGACTAATCTGGCCTGCGCACTGTAGTCTGAGGTCTATAGTGAGATGGCCCCAGAAGAGCCATCCTATAAGCTTAATGTATCTCTTACTGTGTCCATACGAAATGAGTAATACTATCAATGTATGTTTGTTGGACTAAGGAGAGGAGAAACACACCCATATTTTGCCCTTAGACCAGTCATCTTGCTGGATGAGAATCTGTCCTAGAAGAAGCCTCCCCTGAGGGAAGGACCTTACATTCACGGATTGTATGATGACACCTATGTGTAATTGTTCCCTAATCCCTCATGAGGGGGGATTTAACTGAGTTGGTTAGAGTGGGGAAGGGAAAGAAGAGGAGGAGGAGAATCAGAGGAGAATAAAGATGAGGTTGGAATAAACAACAATTGAGATTAACCAGCCTGGCACTCCTTTCTTCCTTCTTCTGCTCATCACCATCGACCTCCCTAGGGCTGGGGGAAGAGGCGTGGACATTCATATTTTATTTTTTGAATGCACAATAGCTTTTGTACTCATTTAGTTTAAGTAATAAAACGGCAAGTTGCATACTCCAGGCAGCAGTCTTGCACAGAAAACAATCTGATGCAGTTTGACAGGTGAATATTCTGTTTTAAACTCACAGCTGACATGGAGCCAGGAATATGCCCAGTTGGAAAGCAACATTCCCTGAAGATGCAGGATCTAGAAACTAGAACACAGAGTGGAAACCAGTGAGCAAGATTAGATTAAAAAGAGAATTTGGATGGGGGAGACAGTACAATGAATAGAATGTTCCCCTTTGCATACAACCATCCTAATTTTGGTCCCCAACAGCACTTTTGATCCTCCGAGCTCTGCCAGGAGTATTCCCTGAGCATAAGGTAGGAGGAAGCCCAGAGCACTGCTCGGTGTCAGTCCAAAATAAAACAAAACCAGAATTTAAAACGCAGTGTAGGGAATCTATGAGATATCATCAAGAGGAATAAAAATGAAAATTGTTGGTGCCAGAAGGGGAAGTCAAAGTTTGAGAGAGACTAAAAGCAGAAAGAGAATCAAGGGGTTCCCAAGTAAGGAAACCCTCATAAGACTCATAGCAACTAACTCCACTGACCAAAAAGGAAATAAATGATATATCCAAAGTGTTGAATAGAAAAGACCTCCAATCAGGAATCTTCTAGCCAGCTCAAATATCCCTTAAATTTGAAGGAAAAACAGAAAGGTTTCAGACAATAGCAAAGGAGGGTACCGAAAAAAAAGGAGGGTCCTAAGTGTCCAAATAAGTAGAAACCTTGCCCTGAACTTGCCTGGAACTCTTTTCCAAGAGTGGGTTCTGGATTTATCTACTCAGAAGAGAGAAGGCATATAGCAGGAAGGGGGACCCAGCAAGGGATGGCCAGGGAGAGATTGTTCCTCTAGCCTACCCTTCCCTGAGTGAGTCCTTCTCTGGTTGTAATGTAAAATTAGAACTGCGCGTTGTTCACAGGGACACCTGGGACACAGGTCTCATTTTAATAGTGGTTTTTTCTTTCTGTGGAAATATGTGATAGTAGAGTTATAACACTGGAAATTAGAGGCAGACAGACAGGGTTAGATGCCAGCTTTTCATCTTAATAGCTATTTCACTTGGTCAAATTCTTTATCTTATGAAAAAAGTTCCTTCAATATTTTTAAGTGGGAAAAATAATTGCATTTGTGATAAAGTAATTTTATGATTTCTAATTTAAAGTTTAAAAACTGAAGGACTTTTACTTGGCAGACATGAAAGAATTCATTTCTACCTGCCTGGAGCAATTCTGCAGTTCAACAACTGACCTACATATGTGAGAGACAGTTGCCAAAGAATCACTGTGATTCTCTCTAGAGTAATTACATTATGTTTGCTCTCTTAGGCCAATAAAGGGTGCAAGTCAGGAAACAAGCTTATTTTTCACTGTCAATCTCATGAGAAGCATACCTTGAAAATGAGCAAAGGATGGTCCCTTTAATGTTTGTTGAACAACAAACACTAGAGATTGAAATCATTTCAGTCTCATTTCTTTCCAGACATTGCAATGCAGACAGGTTTCTCCATGGCAAATATTCCCTTCACACTGGTGTATATCTGGGAATACACAGCTGGGATCCTGATATCTATAGAGTCTCCCTGAAGGAGTTCACTGAACCCAGCTCCACAAGACAGAGGAATGCAGAAATATGGCACATAGGCTTATTGTGTCATTTGGTTTGACACAGCAGATCAATGAATACACTTTGTTGATTCATCTATTCCTTGAAGTTTTCAGAAAAAAAGGTTGAGAAAATTATTGAAGATTCATGATGCTCCAAGTCCTGCTAATCTGAACTAGGAAAGAAGACAGAGGGACTGTCTTTGGGGGTAGATGGAGAAACATTTCTGCTGAGGAATGACAATTGTCTTTTTATTTCTTGTCCCTTTAGTTTTGAAACGTGAAACTTGGAAAGTTATTTCCCCTCAATCATATGCACAGGTGGAAAAAAACACATGACCTGAGCTTTTATCAAGTCCTCTCTGGTACAAGAGGACAGAGATGGTCCTCTAAATAGTCTGAGTGCAGCCAGTTAGTTGCCTCCCTCATACCATTTCCTGGGTGGCCACGGGTGTTTTTGTGCAGGAGGCAGCTGAGCAGATAGGGCTGTGAGGCTGCTGGCACAGAGGTACAGGGCAGAGTCAGCCACTTCCACGGTGCTTATGCTCAGCTCAGTGCTGGAATCCTTACTGAACTGTTGGACTGAGAAGCGATCAGAGAGGCTGCCTTTCTCATTCTCTTGCCCATCAAAACAAGAAACTAGGAAGTCGTGACTCTTTCCCAGGGCCTGTTGATACCAGAACACATACTGGTGCCCAGATTCATAGTTGCATGTTAGGGTCACTGGCTGACTCCTTGCTTTGACCAGGTATCTGGGGTTTTGAGTGACCTCAGCATCCGCAGGGCCTGTTGGGGAGCAGAGAGAAAGGGCTGAGGGCAGACATAGGGGTACCTCCTGCTGCAACCCTCAAGGTGGGCAGGGGGTTCCCAGACCTGGAAAAGCACAGCCCAGGCTCCCCCTGTGCCCAGGACTCACCTGCTCCCAGGAGACCAAGGGCCACCCAGCAGAGGAGCCTGGAGCTCATGGCAGCCTCAGGGCCCAGACAGCTCCTAGGGCACAGCAGGCTCCAAGGTCTGTCCTCCTGGTGCTGATAGGAGCCTCTGCTGTGATGTCACTGTGTGATGTCACTGTTCGATGCTCCCCTGCCTACAGGCTGTGCTTTGGCCTAGGGTCCCTGTCCTCAGTATCAATTCTCTCTGTGGCATTCCCTTCTTATGGGGTCCCTCAGTAAAGCCCTGGAGAACTGTCCTCGGATGCCCTCATGTACCTTGCTCTCCTCTGCCTGTTCCTGCCTGTTACACCAGTACTCCCCCTATTGCCCCAGCCTCTGCCTCTACTTCCTGTGTGGTTGGACCATGGACTCCCAGTGCAGACTGAGGCTCCAGGTGCCTCTGTTCTGCCTTGGGCTGTGGGAGTGTCACCAGAGCCACCTTCTAGGACAGAATTACTGAAGTGACATCCATGCTCTTATCTCCTGGATCACGGTTGCCCCCTCCAGGTTCCTGGAAACACGTGGCCCACAGCGTCTCCATATGGACAAATAAATGATCAGCAACAGAATCTCCCTCTCAGCCTTAACCAGCCATTTCCTAATGTCATGGCCTGTTGAATTGAAATTGATTTTCAAATCCAGTTTTAAACAGTGGAGTGAAAGGATTCCAGTGAAGAGTAATTACTATGCTAAAATGAGTGAGGCAAACAAGAACCTTCAGGCCACCAATAAATATCAAGGGAAAGACACTTGGTATGGTTATCCAGAGCCCAGCTTGAAAAATCAGATTTACACACTCCTATCTATTGAGCATAATTGTCAACCAAATTCCGTCAGTTCCCTTCGTGTAAATGTTGTATGCTTTCCCCACTTAGTCCCATATTTATAAACTCCAGAAATAAGTAATGATATGAACTATCCATAAGGTAGCTGTACATAGACTGAGACTCATACCCAGAAACATCGGTGTATATACCCCTAAAACTGTAGACAACACCTTTCCTATCACTGTGCATCTTGCAAAAATATAAAAAAATGTCTTAGCTGTGAAAATCATACTCCTCTACATAAAACTGATTTTCACTAAAGAACATGCTTTATTTAAATAAGAATCTCTGGTTCTGCTGACCACGGGCTTACAGAGATGTTCCTTGCACTGCCTGACAAGGAATCTTTTCTTTTAAGCACATTGGACCAGGAGTCTCAACTCACATCTAGTCTGAATCCTGAATGAGGCACCTGAGAACTGAAACAACAGAAACTGCTGCCTCTCAAAGTCCCTGAATCAAAGATTGTTCTTCCAGCAGTTTGTCTAGGAGAACTAGGTAGCAACACTAATTAGGTGAGTGGCCCAAGTGATAGGGGACTAGGAAGAGCACTTTCTTGGCTTATGCTAGATGCGGTGCATGGCCCTCCACATCTGCATGCTGTGGACCTGGTGGCAGTTGAGCATTTTCGGGTTGACTCACTGACTCCACATCTCCCAGAATCCAAGTGTGACCCCCCCCACAAAACCAACCACAAGGACTATAACAACAAAATGACTCAGATTTCAATCCTAAAATCTGAGAATTAAATGTGCTTCACTTGAAGTTTTATCTCCTTGTCTTAGTAAATTAGCAAAGACATCATCCTGATTACACCTCCTAAATAGCTGAATATTTGTTCTGTGGTTACATTCTGGGGAACTTGGAAGATTCTGGATACTCAGCTAATTTAGGAAGCAGAGAGGCTGATAGTTACTCACTAGAAAAGTGCATGATGGATGGAGGAAAGGACTATCCTGGCAAACCATCTTTCAGTGATCTCTTATTTCAGGTCACTGCACAGTCTACACTTTCCAGTTAAAAGGTCACGTCTATGCATGGGGTGAACCTCTTTACCACATTGTCCCCACAATGCCATAAGACAGATATGTCACAAGATCATCTCTGGTCAATAGATTTTAGTTTATCAACAGGTCACTGTGCAGATCATCTATAAATTCATCACAAAATTTTTTATTCAGACAACCTGGCACGTTTACTCGGGTGTAACAGAACTGACCCAAGGATGTATCTAAGATGCCATCACATCTTCGGGCCCCTTGCTCATGGCAGGGTAGGGAAGAAGGACGATGTGTGTCTGGTGCTGACATGGCCATACTCTTCAGAGGTTGTTCTGAGGTGTTTGTTTTCTTTTTGTCTGTGCCCCAAACCATTTCCCTTCTCAAACAGCATTAAATAAAAATAATGTCCAAGTGAGGTTCTTAAAATGACGAGTACTAGCTACCATTTGACCCAGAGATACCACTCCTGGGAATATATCCCGGAGAGGCAAAAAATACAGTCAAAATGACATCTGCACTTGTATGTTCATTGCTGCACTATTCACAATAGCCAAAATCTAGAAAAAACCCGAGTGCCCAAGAACAGATGACTGGTTAAAGAAACTTTGGTACATCTACACAGTGGAGTATTATGCAGCTGTTAGAAAAGATGAAGACATGAAATTTACACACAAGTGGTATTACATGGAAAGTATCATGCTAAGTGAAATGAGTCAGAAAGAGAGGGGTAGACATAAAAAGATTGCATTCATTTGGGGAATATAAAGTAACAAAATGGGAGACTAACATCTAAGAATAGCCAAGATAAGTACCAGGAGGTTCACTCCATGGCTTGGAGGCCAGCCACACATGCTAGGGGGAAAAGTAGCTCAGAGAGAGAAGGGAGCACCAAATAAAGGGTGTTGGGAAGACCCGCCAAGGATGGGAGATGCATGCTGAAAGTAGACTATAGATCGAACATAATTGCCACTCAATGCCTCTTTTGCAAACCACAGCACCCAAAAGGAGAGAGAGAACAAAAGGGACTGCCCTGCCACAGAGGCAGGATGGGATGGGGGTGATGGGGGTGGGAGTGATACTGGGATCCGTGGTGGTGGGAAATGGGCACTGGTGGAGGGATGGGTACTCAATCATTATATAACTGAAACCCAAGCACACAACTTTGTAAGTCTACAACTATATCTCATGATGTTTCACTAATAAAATTTTTTTAAAAAATGAAGAGTGCTGTTTTATTTTATTTGGGGAGTTTGGTTTGGGTTTTATTTTGGTTCTGTGCTCACCATTCCTATGAGTTAGAACTTGGGGGATCATAAATGGTTTCGGAGATTGATGGTATGTGGCGTCATTGCATGAAAGACAAGCACCTTCCTCCCTGTACTATCTCTCTGGCCCAAGAGTAAAACTGACATATTTCCTAGTTGTTTCTATTTTGAGATTGTTTGTGAATTGCTTATAATTCAGCCATGTGGTTTAACTTTCATAATTCATTGGATTAATTTGTGCATTTAGGTCTAATATGCTGAGGAAAAATGAGTCGCCTTATGGGTCTCCAATCCTTTCACCAAGCCCATGTCCCGCATACTCTGCGATTTTTTCTGATTTGCTCTGTGGACCCTGTTGTAATGATCCATCCACCTACTATGGATTTCGGGTGGTCATACTTCACTGTTAATAACTAACACTTTTGGACTCATTTTGATTTATGTCATGTCAAATCAGTGAGAGGATATTACACTTGTACCAAGTGTAGTACAAGCAGATGATCGACTGAGACAGGTGACCAGATATGTGAGGGACAAGACAGACATAAAAACACTATTCTGATCACCTGCAACTATATTCCTGGAGCTTTGGCAGCTCAGTAATTGACCTGTATATGTGGGAAGTAGTGTCCAGAGAACCATAGAGATCAAGAGGGGAATAATTACGCACTTGCTATTATAGACCCCAAAAGTCTCCAGGTCAGAAAATATGTGTATTGTCACTATTTATTTCAAATAATGCAATACTTGGTATAAAAATAGGTCTCTTGAGTGTGTACTGAATAGACAGTAGGGACCAAAACACAATCATTGATTTCACATCTTCTCATGGCCATTGTATCATGTATAGAAGGGAGCTCTTTCCATTCCAGATGGAAATTCCATTCACAATGCTGTGTACCTGGAGAGCACATCTGGGATACTCCTGCCCTGATCCCATGGATGGAACTCCCAGGTCTCTGTCCATGAGACACCTAGGGACAGGTCTTGCATTTTATTGTTGCTTCTTTTGGTGTTAAGCATCAGTGAATCTTCTTTACATGTGTTGTATCTTCCTTGAGGTTGTCAGGGAAGAAATTGTAGAAAATCACTTAGGATTCAAATTTTCCCAGTTGTGCTAATCTGGAACTGTAAAAAGGAAGCCAAGGTAGGGAACTGTCAATAGGAGGAGGTTAGGGGAACATCACTCCTAAGAAATAGCAAAAGTGTTTGATTCCTTGTTTCTCCAGTTTTGAAACATGAACCTGGGAAAGTTACTTTCCCTCATGCATATAAACTGGTAAAACACTTTTCCTGCTTGACTGAAGAGTATTAAACTCATCTCCAGTTACTGCCATAAAGAGAATTTCCTTATACTCTGGGCCCTGCTGCCTGGCAGCCTCCCTCACGTTCTGCCACTTCCTGGGCTGTCCAGGGGTGTTTTTGTGCAGGAGGCAGATGAGTAGGCAGGGCTGTGAGGCTGCTGGCACAGAGGTACAGGGCAGAGTCGGCCACTTTCACGGAGCTCACGCTCAGCTCAGAGCTGGAGTCCTTACTGAACTGTTGGACTGAGAAATGATCAGGGATGCTGCCTTTTTGATACTCTTGCCCACTGTAATACTGAACAAGGAACTTGGGACCCTGGTCCAGTGCCTGTTGGTACCAGTACACGTTATCATGCTCGGATTCATAGTTGCATGTCAGGGTCACTGGCTGACTCCTTGCTTTGAACAGGTATCTGGGGCTTTGAGTGACCTCAGCATCCACAGGACCTGTCGGGGAGCAGAGAGAAAGGGCTGAGGCAGACACAGGGGCACCTCCTGCTTCAGTCCTCATGGTGGATAGGGGTTCTCAAGCCTGGCAAAGCACAGCCCAGGCCCCCCCTGTGCCCAGGACTCACCTGCTCCCAGGAGACCAAGGGTCACCCAGCAGAGGAGCCTGGAGCCCATGGCAGCGTCAGGGCCCAGACAGGCCCTAGGGCAGGGCAGGCTCCAATTTCTGTCCTCCTGCTGCTGATAGGAGCCTCCGCTGTGAGGTCACTGTGTGACGTCACTGTGTGATGTGCCTCTGCTGCAGGCTGGGCCCTGGTCCAGGGCACTGCTGGTCTATCATGAGATTCTGGTTGTCATTTCTTCTGTGAAGTCCTTCAAAGTAAGGTGGGTGCCTTTCAGTCCATGCACCTTATTCACAGCCTCCTTTTTCTGATCCCCATTTCTCATTTCAGCTCCCTGGCTACTTTTCCCTCCTTTTCTGCTCCTGCTTCTCTGCTGTTGAATGAAGTTCCAAGTACATTTATTTACACTCCCAGTGCTTAGGAGGCTGGATTAGTTCATGTACATTCCAGAATATTCTGTTGAAACCAAACTACCTGCCTAGTCTGCCTTGGAATCTGTTTTTCTCCTGAGCCCATGACAGTTTCCTTCCTTGGTGCCTTGCAATTCGTGGGTTTGTAGCGCCTCCAAGTGGCCTGAAATTCAGCCTGATGGATTCACATCACATGCTGGAGCGATAGCACAGCGGTAGGGCGTTTGCCTTGCACGCAGCCAACATGGCTGACCTGAGTTCGATTCCTCCACCCCTCTCAGAGAGCCCGGCAAGCTACCGAGAGTATCTCGCCCGCACGGCAGAGCCTGGCAAGCTACCCGTGAAGTATTCGATATGCCAAACACAGTAACAAGAAGTATTACAATGGAGATGTTACTAGGCCCGCTCAAGCAAATCAACGAATAACGGGAGGACCGTGACCATGACGGATTCACATGTGACCAATTCAATTGCAGAAATTTCCTCAAAGCCCCTCTCCACCAACTCCCAAGTTACTCCTTTTCAGGGATCATTTTTCTGCTTTCCCAGTTGGACCATCTCACAATCCACTGTCAAGTCCTTGGAGGCAAAGATTTCTAAGGGAATGTTTTGATAATGGGATTTATTGTTGCATCATTGTAAGACTTATGCTAGATGGAAAGAGACAAAACAAAGGCATTCAGACCATGAAAATAAAATTTTTCAATTAAGAGCATGTAGGATTCCTGTCTTCCGAAGCTTCTCTTACCATCTCAATTACAAATGTCACATTTAGATATTTAAACCATTTCTACATTTCAGTTGATTCACTCTACAGAGAATGGTCATGTTTTTGCATTTATTTTTCTGAATTATAAATCCTTGAATCTCTGTCAGCTGACTTAGTTGGGTTTTGTTATAGTTCAGGGAAATTCATCCAGGACTGACCTTTTGTTCCCATTGCCTGGATATACAATATTCCTAATATTAAAAATCTCTTCTTATGAGTCTTTTTCCTTCATGCATAAATTAAAATATCCTAGTTATCAGAAATTTATATATTGACTTAACACTTCCCCATGTTGGAGAATAGGCTATATTTGTTTTAGTCCCATAGCACTTGACTATGACATCACACAACCTATGATATTTGTTAAACATGTGAACATTCCTCTATAAACAAAGGCTGACATCTCAGTTGTGGAGGGACAAATTCACCCTCACATATTCTGAATTCCTATCACGAAACTCAATACAGACTCACAGGACACCAAAAGCTACCTTTCATCACCAGCCAACTGAAGACTGACTGGGAACAGTTCCCTCCTGTGTTTTTTTCTGACTTTTACAATGAAGCAATATTATTTTAGAATCAAATGTTCTGGATGTTATTCATTATAATGCTCCATGAGTCATAAATTGAGTCTGTTAGATAAGACTTACCCAGGAGAAAATGTGCAGAGAGACCATTTTTCCAGATGTGATCACAGAACGGATGAGACTAGGGACCTTCAAATTTGCTCTGTTGTAACTTCATCCTAGGAGACTTGAGATCCTGGGTTCTTAGCTGAAAAATGACTGAGAATATCAGCTCTCAAGGGAACAAGTTGTATTTTGTAGAGGGGAAGGATATCAAGGATAATTTTTTTCAAGTATTTGACATGATTTTGGCTCTTTTGGCTCTCCGCTCAAATTTTGTCAGGGATCAAGTATATTCTTATGTTCCTCCACAAGTATCTTCTTTTAAAAAAAATCTTTGTTTTGTTTGGACCTATACCTGGCAGTGCTTAGGGTTCCTCCTGGCTTTACATTCAGGGATCACCTGTTCATTGGCTGGGCACCATACGAGATGCTAGGGATCAAACCCAAGCTGGCTGCATGCAAAGCAAGTGACACACCCACTGTATATCCTTCTGGCCTTTCGGGTATACTCTTGGGGCAAGCATCTCTCTAACACTCTCTTCTGCTATCACCCCCGATATTATGCCTAATCCTGAAACTCCAAGGACGAAACTCTCGTTTGTCATCAGATCAGAATTGCTGAGCTCCAATTCTGTGAATCATGCTGTTCTAGATTGGAAACTTACTTTGCTGAGAAATTAGAGCCATGTTTCCTAGAATACCCTTTCATTTCAGGTCCTGGTTCATTTGTTTGTCCAGGAGACATTACTATGGAATTTGAAACACAAAAGAAGCAAAAGAACCCCAGCTTATTCCTGAAGGTTGAGTTCAGACTGTGAGTACCAGAGACAGGTTCAAAGGTGTCCAAAAGAACGATACTGGAATAAAGAAAAAGTTTGATAGCTGTGAAGACAAAAGAACAGAGACAGAGTCATCTCCACTTCAAGCTCTAGTTGTAGCCGGTCTGGCCAACACTCTTCATCAGAACCTCAGCACATCTGAATTCATAGTGCATGACTGAAAGTGCAGGGATCTCGGCTGCTGATGCTGAGAATCTGCAAAGGCTCTCTGGAGCCCATGGGGGCAGGGCGCCCTGTGTTTGTGTGCAGAGAGGAGGCAGCCCTGTAGCACTGTGGACAGACTGCTGGCGCACCAGTACACAGATGTCTGGGAGGGCACAGCCGACTTCAGCGTAAGGGGAAAACTCTCAGTCTTCTCTCTAGAGACACTGTACCCAGCTGTCACTTCTCCTTTCTCCACGCTGTTAGCGCCAAGTGAATAATAGATCAGCTTCAGCCCTTGTCCTTTGTCTTGTCGATACCAGTACATGTAGTTATGTGCCATATCCTGGGAACACATCAGTGTCACACTCTGTCCTATCTTCAGGAGCTGGAATGTGGGGGTCTGAGTGACACCTGCCTGCCCCAGACCTATGGAAGAAGAAGTCGATGCTGCAGACACAACTGAAGTCTGAGCATGGGATGGGGACATTTTCACCATAAAGGGACCTTACCCAGATCTCACCTGCCTGCAGTAGCCAGAGGATCACACAGGAGAGAAGGGGGTCGCTCATGGCAAGGGCAGCGGGCAGGAGTGTCTGCTGTGTGTGTGGTGGTTAGGCTCCTTATGGACACATCATGAGGTGTTGCCTTCTTGTCTGGGCCCACCCCTCCCAGCCCCTGTGCCAAGGCCCTGCCTTTTCTCAGAGAAAGTGAAAATTCATGCACAAATGTGCTGCTTTCAATGAAGAATACATTGTCATGTATTGTCTGTAATAAGATGCCTTGTCATTTTCTTTGCCAATTTGTGACTTAGATTCTTCAATTACATGGTGTCATTTCCATAATGCTCCAGATTTATTCATGCAAATATGTCTCGTATGTTCAATTTAGTAAGAAGCATATGTGCTCCCGGTGCCTTGACTCCTGCGTCTCAGGTCTTGATTTGTTCTCTGATTTGATTACTGACCATGGGGTTGTGTACCTGCTTTGGATTTCCTCCTGGGTTTCTATCCACCTGCTGAGCCTCTGACACAGGCAATCACCATGTGAGAACTCAGAGTTCTTCAAGTTTGCTGTATTCGAGGAGAAGGGACACTGCAATGCAGCAAGAGCAAAGGGTCGCTGAAACCACTGCAAAGAGGTGGGAAGATGCGGGGAAGGGGGAGTGGTAGGTCAGTGAAAAATGCTGGTTTCGTTGGCTACACTATGTTTTCACTTCTTGTAAAATTGATGGTACAAATGATACAGCAAATATAAGGGAGTTCAGAAATACTGAATGTGATTGCAAGCATACACGGTGCTTGGTTCAATATTCTGCCATTACATCCCTCGGATCAATTAGGATCTTGGAAATCTAGTCTGAGATTTATAGCGAGTAGGCCCCAGGAGAGCAATTTGATAAACTTAATGTATCTTTTACTGTTTCCATACAAAATGATATATGAATGTTTATGTGTTTGCTGGACAAGGAGAGGAGAAATATACCCATGAGATTACCCTCTTGGGTGGGTCATCCTGCTGGATGAGACTCTTTCCTAGAAGTAGCTTCCCCTGAGGGAAGGACTTTACCTCTGTTGATTGTGACCAAACCTACCTGTAAGCCCCTCATGCTTTGGGATTTAACCCTCATGCTTAGGGACTTAACTAGGCTGTGAGAGCGTACTGGGGGATTCAGAAGGAGAATGAAATAGAATGGGGAGGCATAAGAAGGAGAAGTACTTCAGGAGCAGGACCCAAGAAGAGGATGAGGAGACCCAGAGAGAGAGAGAGAGAGAAGCAGGAGAATCAGAGGAGAATGGAGATGAGATTGGAATCAAGTGCAGTTGATACCAACCAGTCTGGCCCTCATTCCCTCCTTCCTCTTCCCTTTGCCATCCACCTCCGTGGGGTGGGGGAAGCAGCTCGAGACTGAAGGCTGCGAGAGAGAGAGAACCGCTGAGAAGCCCTTTCTTATTTTATTTTTTGAATATACACCAACAAGGCCGGAGCAATAGCACAGTGGGTAGTGCGTTTGCCTTGAACGCAGTTGACCTGGGTTTGATTTCTCCACCCCTCTCGAAGAGCCTGGCAAACTACCGAAAGAATTCTGCCTGCATGGCAAAGCCTGGCCTACCCATGATGTACTCGATATGCCAAAAACAGTAACAAGTCTCACAATGGAGATGTTACTGGTGCCCACTCAAGCAAGTCAATGAACAAGGAAAGACAGTGCTGTGCTACACCAATAGATAAACAATAGATTATTCTTCACAGCTATCAGCAGTAGTAGTACC